GAATAGCACTCTTCAATTTAAATTCACTTGTGAAAGCAAGTGTACTTGTAATCTGGAATTAGATTTTTCCCTATAAACAATTTTTCTTCAATTCTTTAATTCTTTTTTTTTTCACGTGCAGGCAGACATGCTCATTTTTTCGACAATTCAAATGAAGGTACGAGTTCATTTCAGTAGTAGAAAATTTATCAAATTAAAGTTTTTTTCGGATTTGTGGTTTTCATTCTAATTTTCGCCGGCTCAGTTTCCGTTATTTTTTTCAAATGGCATTTTATTCATTTGGTATGGTTTTTTCAATCGGCTTACACTCCAAAGCATGCATTTTATTTTTGATTTTAAAAGTTTTAAATATATTTGAAAGGTCTGTAATTAGTAAATTTACCAAATCTGATTTTGAATAGTTTTTTTTCTAGTTTTTTTTTAAATTAAACGGTTTCTGCTTATGTTTTATCTGATAAGTCACCTCATACTGCGTAGTTAGCTAGGCAAAATAGTTTCTTATGCTTTTGTGTGTTTCAAGTGTGATGTGTCGTTAAAACTTTGATTTTTACAACTTTTTAGCTCACATCTTAAAACAGTTTTGTTTTCGGCTCATCCCGGTTCGACCCAAGTTTTTTCGGCTGAGTTGCCGCTCAGTAAATGATTCTCAATATTTTTGAGGCTGTTTTTCAACATCATCCGACAAACGTATGAAGTTCTTATAGATGTTCTTTTTTTCTCTTGTAATTCTTTTTTTCTCACTGTCTTGTAATTCAGTGTTTTTGTTTGGTCAAAGTCATGTAAGCTCCGCAAAGTCAAGGAAAATTTGAGATTATTTGAAAACTTTTAGGCCGTCCAAACGGATTGTCCGAGCTCTACCAAATCACTACAAAGACCCTATTTTGGCCAAATTTCTGCCTAGCCGAATCCCAGAGGGGAGGGTGTCCCCCGGCCACCTAAGTCCACAACTAATTTACACCAGTAAACAAAAGTACACACATTATTTAACTGAAGCATGTAAACATTTTCAAATCGCCAGTTGTACAGGGTTATACGTTTCTCGGACAGTTAAAGTTCGTTATTTTTATAACAAGAATGTTCTCTGAATATTCAAATGTCCATAAAAATGAATAAAAATTACGACGCTGAAGTAAACATTGATTTCCGCAAATGAAGCTCGATTCCAGTGTCTTCCAAAAATTGAGTTTTGCGATGTTTATCATTAATTTTTTGTCATCAAATATGTCGGGAATTTTTCATAGCTCCAAATGTCTAATGGATCAGGTTAATAAAACTAAAGTGATTTAAGTGAAGCTGTCTTTTAGACTTACCGAGCCAATAGTGTTATGAACAGTGGCGCGATGCCTGGTCTGCAAATGCTAGCTGGAGTGGAGAGTTTCGTGACTACTATCAACTCAATAGCAGCCCTGTTCGAGTCCAGTTATATGGCATTGTCCACTTCACTAAGAGCAGTGTTGTCTACAGGCGACCAATTGGCTAAGTAAGAAAAAAAAGAAATTAAAGGAAGAAATTATTTCTCCAAAATCAAGTGTTATTCAGCCGAATCAAAAAATTATAGGAGAGGCTTGACAAAACGCGTAATCAATGGAGTCTTCTCTTGCATAGTCAGGGCTATTTCCGTTCAATTGGTACAGGTACAATTTTTGGCCAGCCAATTTAATTTATGGTGTTCTGTAAATTTTTAAGAGTATTTGGTAATTAACGGTGTTCTGTTAATTAGTTTACCTTGACTAATTTTTGTCTGCTTAATTTTGATCAGCTTTCTTTCCGAATCATGCAATTTTCTTTAGTTGAAGCAGTTAGAAATGAAAGGCCATTTGGTTCGTTCCTGTAATAATAATTTTTTAACCTATAATTTTGAGTTCTTTTTATACGTTATCTTTTCTGCTCAATAGGTTTTTTCGTCTTAAATGGTTTTGGAAAATGTAATATTGGATCAGTCATCTTCTATTGGGTCGTTTAATAAGGCTAGATAAGTTTTTTTCTTTGATCTGTTTCAAAACCTTTTTTTTAACCTGAATTTTTAAATTTAACCAGCGGCGCTACATTTTTTGGGCAAAATGGTCTTTAATAGGGTTTTCAGATGTTTGTTTTGATTTTTAATGTTGCTTTGCGTGGATTGGATTTTTACCTGATTGGTGTTATTTAGTAAATGCTCAACTTAATCGTTAGAGATAACATTATATTTTAGCAATCTTAATGGTGTCAATTTAAAAGGATTAGATGAAATTTTTTGCACTACTAAGATAGAGTGGTCCCACGAAAAGCAGAGTTGGTAGAAAAAACAAGGGCTGTTTAAAACATTATTTTAAATACTTATTTTTTTCGCATGTTTTTTTTCTACTGTTTTATTTTAAAAAAAACAGCAATCAGCTGATTTCGCAAATCATTCTAGAATAATTTGAGGCTCATGATGCCTAATTTATTATACGGTGCTAATTTAAATTAACCGGACAAAACGCGTTAAACTTGAAATTTAAAACCCGTTTTTCTCAAATTGTGTTGAGTTTAGTTGAAAACTTATGAAGACAAAACTTGCTTAAAATTTTAGCAGAATTAATATGGTGTAATTTAATTTGCGAAATTCGGGCCCGAAATTTTAGCGCAAAAATGGGTCCTTTTGGCTTTTCTTAGTTAATCAAAAATTACGCCGAAAATAACCAGTCGATCACAGACATAATTATATCAAAGTGAGCCCCTTACGTAGCCCAACAAACTTTATAAAGGGTATTTTCTCCAAAAAAAATTGCAAATTGAAAAATTAAGAAAAGCCAAAATGATTTCGGGCCCGAATTTCGCAAAACAAATTGCACCATTTTAATTCTGCTAAAATTTTAAGCAAGTTTTGTCTTCATAAGTTTTCACCAAAACTCAACCCAATTTGAGAAAAACGGGTTTTAAATTTCAAGTTTAACGCGTTTTGTCCGGTTAATTTAAATCAGCACTGTAGATAGATGCAAGTGCGTAATGATGCGTAATGATGCGTAATAATGATCCACTCAGACTTGAGAAACAAATTAGGATCTGAAAAAGTTGGTAGTCTTGTTTTTTGCATGAAATTGCTCAAACATTATTGAATAGATTTTGTGCACATGTTTTTTTCACCTATAATCTAGAAAAAATCTGATGTAGAAAAAAAACAATGTTTTGAATCTTTTATTTGTTTTAAACGTTTTTTTTTCGTTAAAAAAAACATTAATTTGTCAACCCTGCAAAAAAGCAACTTTGATAGACAGGTCCTGCGTGTATTGCGCATGTTATAATTTTGCAAACAATTTGTGATAAATTATTCATTTCAAAATCGCGAAAGATCGGAAACTGTTCAGATTAATAATTTAATCACTATCTGGTTTATATAAAGAAATATGCTCGCTTCAACTTTTTCACAACCAAAATTGGGTTTACTTTAGGGTTTAACAACCAAAATTGGATTGATTAATTTGTCTTCCAAGCTCAATATTGGCATTTTTTTTCCAATTTTCCATCTTAAATTGGCGTGGGGGAAGGTTTTACGAAAAATCGATACACGAAATTTGTTTGAAAATAATTTGTGACATCTTTGCGAATGGCGAAATCATAATTATTAATTTATTTCAGAGCCCTAGGTGTCTTCTTCTGAAGGGACTTAGTTATGTTCAAGGGACCAATCTATAATAGTAGTACCAAATTTTTGATCAACAACCAAATACCTAATTGTTTCTTGCTGAAGCGCTGATATATTCCAGGTTTTCAGTGCTTCAAATAATTATAGGTATTTTCAGTCTTCGTTCTGAGTTGTGGAAGATACTCCAAGCGGTTTCTTTGATCCGAGGTGTCAAGTGGGTCGTACGAAGAGTCCTCGTGTTTCTCCGTCTCATTAAACCGTCTTCGGGAGCCGAAGAGGCGTGGCAAGAGGGAAAACAGAAGAGTCATCCTGTCAATGCATCTAAGAACTGCTCAGCGATTCTCTTCTTCGCTTTTGTACTCGGCGGTCCATGGCTGCTGTACAGATTACTGAATGGATCTATGCAGTCGGTCCACGGTAGCTAATTTGTTCCTAGTTTCAACAAGTTTTTCAACGAATAGTGTTTCAATATAGTAATGAACGTGGTTTTCAAGGAGTAATGAACGTAGTGAAGCTCTTATAAAGGTCTCGGTGATTTTTTTTTGTATTGGATGGTGTTGTATGGTGAGGAGAGCGAATACCTGAGAATGGAGGGGCGTCCCCTCCCCCTAAAGCCTCCCTGTTTAGAGCGATGTTATCCAATGAATCTGGAAAATTCATGTTTCAGATAAGCTCTGGATGCGAGAACAGGGACCTCATTATGTCGCCAAGGCAAAGTTTGATTTCGCTCCTTCAAGTTCTGACGAGATTAGTCTTGAGAAAGGACAGAAAGTCGTGGTTGCAACTTCAAAAGGTATTTATGGTTTTGACTTTGTCGCCAAGCATGAAGGAACAATGAATTAGCTCGTTGTTTTTCCTTCCATTTTTGGACGACAGAGCGTAAGTCCTCTCAGTCGTGACTCGGATTCCATAAAGATACTTGTAATTTTTGTCTGGTAAATTTTGTCTGAAGTTTTTGAGTGTCCGTTAACGAATTGAAAAATTATTAGGGCCGTGTGTTTTTGAAAAGTTATTAAGGCCGTGTGTTTTTCAAGGTTCGGAGTTTCTTTATTTAGGCGATGAGTATGCTAATTCTTAAGCTAAACATTCTGAACGATCTAAACATTCTGTGCTACTTACGCAATAAGCGTCTGTTGTTGAAATTTAACGCAATCTATCTATCTTCCATCTATGTATATTCTTAATTGAGAGAGACATGTATCTTGCCATTTTTAAGCCAATTTAACATGTTAACACTTGCGAGCTATAGTGTTATAGTACGACCAAAAATCTTTTTCCAACCTTTTCTTCCAATTATTGGTGACACTTTTGGGGCACTTTTACGGCTTTTTGATAGCTTGTGCTTTGACATTCGATTAGCAATAAGTTCCTGTTTGATTTATTAAACAGGTATTATGAAAACGTTTTTTTTTTCCAGATGAGATCTGTTTTTTTTTTTTTTATTTTTTTTTTTTGAGACGCTTTTTCGAAAAATTCGCTTTCCCAAAAAACTACCCGTAAGATTCTCATAAAGTGGTACCAATGGATTCAGTAGCGTTTCGCCTACCTGCCTGCATGAAATTTAGGGCAATTTTTACCCTACCCCACCCCCTACGGTCTTAGAAAAGCTTCACAACTCGGTACTTTTTTCACTTTTTGCCCATTTTTTCGGAAATTTTCGATTTCCTCAAAAACTACCCGTCCAGATTTGGGATTAAGGGTTTAATCGATAGACCAGGTTGTAGGAAACTCCCATGCACAAGCGGCTGGTCCCTAATTTGCTTAGGGGAAGAGCTATAGACTTAGGAAAAGTCACTTTTTTGATTTTTTGGCCTATTTTTTCGGAAATTATCGATTTCCTCAAAAACTACCCATCCAGATTTGGAATTAAAGGTTTAATCGATAGACCAGGTTGTAGGAAACTCCCCCGCACAAGCGGCTGGTCCTTAACTTGCCTAGGGGAAGAGCTATAGACTTAGGAAAAGTCACTTTTTTGGCCTTTTTTCAAATCTTTCCGTTTTCCTCAAAAACTACCCGTCCAGATTTGGGATTAAGGGTTTAATCGATAGACCAGGTTGTAGGAACCCCCCTACACAAAGGGCTTGTCCCTAATTTGTCTAGGGGAAGAGCTATACACTTAGGAATAGTCAATTTTTCGGTTTTTAGGCCATTTTTTCAAACTTTTTCGATTTATTCAAAAACTACCCATCCAGATTTGGGATTAAGGGTTTAATCGATAGACCAGGTTGTAGGAAACTCCCCTGCCCAAGCGGCTGGTCCCTAATTTGCTTAGGGGAAGAGCTATAGACTTAGGAAAAGTCACTTTTTTGATTTTTTTGCCTATTTTTTCGGAAATTATCGATTTCCTCAAAAACTAACCATCCAGATTTGGAATTAAGGGTTTAATCGATAGACCAGGTTGCAGGAAACTCCCCCGCACAATCGGCTGGTCCTTAACTTGCCTAGGGGAAGAGCTATAGACTTAGGAAAAGTCACTTTTTTGACTTTTTTGGCCTTTTTTTCGGATTATATCGATTTCCTCAAAAACTACCCATCCAGATTTGGGATTAAGGGTTTAATCGATAGACCAGGTTGTAGGAAACTCCCCTGCCCATGCGGCTGGTCCTTAATTTGTCTCGGGGAAGAGCTGTACACTTAGGAAAAATTTTTTTAAAAGTTTTTTGGCATTGGAACAAAGATTCAATATACTTATTGTGTGTATTTTTTAGACAATGGAATCCGCTATGCTTACGTTTTCTCGCTTTTGCTTGGTGCTATTGGCTTTGTGTTGAGTTTTTTTGTATGGTTCGAAGAAGTCCAACGAGAAGTTGCACGAGTTCCGCTAGTTCTCTTTAATCAGGTCGGTTTGTTCCAGAACGTTTTTGTGATGTCAGTTATAGTCAACATATTATAGTCATATTTGCAATGCTTGGACAAAATTTAATTAATTCGAAAATTAAAAATGAAGTCGTTAGAAAAATGAAAAATACTTTATTTCATTAATGTTAGCTGGTTTGTGAAACTCACATTTCACTTAATTCTAGTGAATAATTATTCACATTGTTGAAGCATTGTGCATATGATTTTATTTTAAATATATTTAGCATGTAACCATGATTGATACGGTTTGCCTTGTCGCTCTGTGAAAGGCCCGATTAATGGGAGGTCATAAATCACTTAAAACATGCGCCAATCGATCAGTACGACACCATTGTCATCTTGTGTGAAAACAATGATGTATTGAAAATGTCACCTGATGCGCTCATAGATCAATTCAGAGGTATCATTAAAAATCTGTACCTCTCACTTTAATCATTTATATACTTCAATTCTAGTCCTCAAAGGTGTATTAAAACAACGGGGAGGACGATTTTTTGTATGATCTCTCCTTCCCCGCCAGAACGACGTCTATCGGGCGCGGGCAGTCCTTCTAAATAGGGAACTTAAAAAGTTGTATGGTTCCGAAAACGTTACCAATGAATGCATAAGCTTCTCTTTCACTTTTTTTGCGTAGGAAGGGCGCTATCGACTTGAGAAACCTGAAATTTTAAAACAATTTTAAAATAATCAATATTAAAATAATCAAACAGGTCTCTCCAGCTTTCAGCTGGGCCCCTAGTTAACACAGTTAATACATTTTTAATTCATCAAATGAGCTGAAAAAAAGCTGAAAAAATTTTTTAACTCAATACATCTCTCAATTTAATTTTGAAATGCATAATTTATACATAATTTGGTTTTTGGCGTTCCAATTTATTACATGCCAAGCTAGTGTGGTGCCTATGCCTTCATTTTGCTATAATTTAAATTATTAAAAGCAAAATTGTATTTGGTGCCACTTTTGCTGCTCGCTTTGGCAATTTATCAGCATAGCTGCTTTTTTGTGACTAATTGTAAAGTGACCGTGGCGCTGATGCGAGGAGCCGGGCGGAGGTGCTCGGCTCCTAATTCGACCCAAACGGTCGAACGATGTCCGTTTTCGACTTTTTCTGTCGAACGGTACCCGATTTCGACTTTTTGAGTCGAACGATGTCCGTTTTCGACTGTTCGACTTTACCGGACTTTGTTCGATTTGTTCGACTATACCGGATTTTGTTCGACTTTACCGGATATTGTTCGACTTTACCGGATATTGTTCGACTCTATCGGAAATTTTTTGCTTTTACCGGGAATAAGCCGAAGTTGCCTGAGCAGAGGGGACTCTAAATTTCCTTGTCGTAGAATCGATCCGCCACAGCATAAATTGTAATTTTCAATGCATTATTTCATCTTCGGTTTTCTTATTTTCTCTTCTAGAGCTGCTTCTTTATCTTTTTCTCGCTAGTGTTTGCGAAGCGCAATTTCGACTGCGTGTTAAGAATTGTGTGTTATATGTAAATGTATAAGTTACTGCCTATGTCAGCATAGCTGCGCTGAACACTTAGCTTATAATTATAAGCGCTATTTGTAGCCGGAGAGATTTAAAAGAGCTTGGTTTGTTCGTCTGTTCCTGTTTTTAGTTCTGTTTTTAGTTCCGCGTGTTTAAATTTAAAAGAACAAAGTGATTTCACTTATGTAGATTGTGATGTTCTTTTTTTTCGGTTTTTTTTTTCAGATGAGCCTTGCAATCAGCTCATTTTCAAATTTGTTTTTTTTTGCGGTTTGTCTTTTGTTTTCTTTTCAAGCTCATTTCTTTTCCTTTGTGAAACTACACTTTCAAACACATAAAATGCGAAGGCCACGAAAACATGATCGGGTTTGGCTTTCAAAATGAGTATAACTTTCTGAATTGCCATGGGAATATAATCATTTAGTTTCTCGCCGATACCTATAACTTTTCAATAGAGGACCAACTCAGCTAGACGTAGCTGATATTTTACTTTCAGTGTGATTCAACCGATCGTTTGACTTTATATCAGAGGTAGGGGAACATCTTATACATGTTTGATTGTGTATACCAAGACAATGAAGCTGAACATCTTTTATTGTTTTTTGGCTTGTGCCTGCAGCGAGTATTCAATGCTAGTATTACAATACAAGACCTCTAAAACGTTGTATTGCAATAATCGCAATTTTTTTACTCGTTGAGTTTGTTCACTGAGCCCCCGATCCAGTCTCAATCTGTCTAATTCAGAGTCACGAGGCTCACCCAACTGCTGCTTCTTGACGTGGATAAGTTTTATAAGCTGTTGTGAAAATTTCGATAATTCGATATAAAATTAGATTACAAATAAAGGGGAAGAATCCCGCGTAGATTGAATCTAACATTTGAAAGAATCTTTGTCGGTGTAAATCGATTTTTTTGGCGGTTATTAATTTCCAATTCATTTTTCATTCCATTGTGTTGCTTGTTGCAAGCAACATTGCCGCCAACCTTGAATGAACCAAGTTCATTCAACATTGACTGGAAGACTCCTTAGTTTGATGCAAGGTGGGTTCACCAGGAGCGCAACATCACCCACTTTAAATTTTTGTTGCTTTGAAGTCCACTTCTTCCGCGGCTGCCCAGATGACAAGTACTCCTTGCTCCATCGCTTCCAGAAAATTCCAACGAGTTTCTGCTTGTGGGCCCACCGTTTGGCTGGATGTGTTTCACACGGCTGAAGTGTACTTGTCAGTGGGGGCACTGGTATTGGCAGGTACTGCATCTCTTTTCCTGTCACCATCTTAGCTGATATTAGGATCAGCAGTTCCGAAACATCGGTCGAAATTGGGAGGAGTGGTCGTGTGTTCAGGGTTGCTTCAATGTCCCATAGTAGAGTAGAAAGTTCCTCGTCGTCAAAACATTGTTCCCCGCGACTCTTCTCAGATGTGATTTTGAAAGTTTCGCTCCTG